TTGGAATTCTGACTGAAACTTTTCCCACAATCTAAACACTCATACGGTTTGTCTCCTGTGTGAGTCCTCTGGTGCGTCACCAGGTTACAAGTCTTACTGAAACTTTTCCCACAATCTGAACATTCATACGGTTTTTCTCCTGTGTGAATCTTCTGGTGTGTTATCAGACTGGAAATTTGACTGAAACTTTTCCCACACACAGGACATTCATATGGTTTGTCCTTGGAATGAGTCCTCTGGTGTGTCACCAGGCTGGAACTGTTACTGAAACATTTCCCACATTCTGGACATTCATATGGCTTTTCTCCTGTGTGAGTCCTCTGGTGTGTAACGAGGCTGGAATTCTGACTGAAACGTTTTCCACACTCAGGACATTCATATGGTTTCTCCAGAGTATGAGTTCTCTGGTGTGTCATTAGGCCGGAATTCCTACTGAATCGTTTCCCACACTCTGGACACTCATATGGTTTTTCTCCTGTGTGAGTCATCTGGTGTAGCACGAGGTGGGAATTCTGACTGAAACTTTCCCCACAATCTGGACATTCATATGGTTTCTCTCCTGTATGAGTCCTCTGATGTGTCACGAGGGTAGAATTCTTACTGAAACATTTCCCACACTCTGGACATTCATACGGTTTTTCTCCTGTGTGAGTCCTCTGGTGTGTTACCAGGCTGGAATTATGACTGAAAGTTTTCTCACACTCTGGACATTCATACAGTTTGTCCTGGGAATGAGTTCTCCGGTATGCCACCAGGCTGGAATTATGACTGAAACCTTTCCTACAATCAGGACATTCAAATGGTTTCTCTCCTGTGTGAATCCTGTGGTGTGTCACCAGGCTGGAAGTCTGACTGAATTTTTCCCCACACTCAAAACATTTAAAGGGTTTCTCCCCAGTGTGAGTCCTTTGGTGTACCACCAGATGGGAATTCTTACTGAAACATTTCTCACATTCTGAACATTCATACCGTTTTTCTCCTGTATGAGTCCTCTGGTGTGTCACAAGGGTGGAATTCCGACTGAAACTTTTCCCACACTCAGGACATTCATAAGCTTTCTCCTGAGAATGAGTCCTCTGGTGTGTCATTAGGAATTCTGATTTAAACTTTTGCCACAATCTGGACACTCAGTTTGTCCCATGTGAGTTCTCTGTGTGTCACCATGGAATTATGACTGAAACTTTCCCACACCTCAGACATTCATACAGTTTCTCTCCCATATGAATCTTGTGATGTGATACCAGGTGGGAATTCCATCTGAAACTTTTCCCACATTTTGAACACTCATATGGTTTTTCTTCAGGTGTCTCAAGAGGTGAGAATCTCTAATGAAACTTTTCCATCAAATTGGGCACTTACAGTTTCTCCCTGGTGTGAGTCCTCTGATGTTGCTATGCTTGCTAAAGCATTTACCACATTGAAAGCACTTGCAGGCCATATATGTCCTTCAATGAATCCCAAGAGAGCTGTTCAGACTAAACCATTTCTCACATTTATAGCATTTCTATAGCTTTTCTACAATGTGGATCCTCTTGTGCATAATCAGTTATGATTTACAACCTGTACTTTTCCCATAATGGGCACAAGAGGAGCTTTTCCAACACTGATATTCTTGCGGTCAAATATTTATGTGATCTTTTTTTAGTGATGCTTTAATTCCTGAAGTTTTCCTCCTTTCTTTTTCTGAATGAAATATAATCTCCCTTGATTGTTCATGTAACGTATTCTTGAGTTTCTCATACTCCACTTTTTCTAGCTTGAAATCTCCTCTTAATTTTCTCTCCTTTGTCTCTCAACAGCTGGGAAAGGAGAAGAATTTTGTGGTTTTCTGAAGGAAATTGATAATATTTTGATTTCTGTCTGCCTTTGCTTTCTTTTCCAATGTTGCTTGTTACTCTCAGTTTTCCAGAGTGCTCTTACTGCCATCCTCTTTGTCTGTAAGATTCAAAGAAAAATGTAACTTTAATTCTTTATAAAATGGTTGCAGAAGAACGGGGAAAAATATACATTACAATAAATAAGCAAACATGCCCCAATAGAGAATAACCTCTTTGTTATGATTCATTTGACACATTTGTTTTCCAAGTCCAAATATCCATTCAGTCATGAAATTCTCTTTTTCACTTTGGTGATTCACAAATTCTTAGCAGTGCAAAGGCTTATCATGAACTATAACTGGAAATGCTGGGGATACATTGTAGATTTGTAAATATACGCATAGAGAGAAAAATAAATAATACATGCCTATCTGTATGTATGTGGAAAATGCATGTTTTTAGCCTGAAAAATCATCCCAAAATGATTACAGTCGAACCTTCTGAGCTAACTTTAGAGATTGTGGGTTTTTACCTGATGAAATGATACCTAAACCCTCCGCAAGATCTCATGTTCAGTTTTGCCCATGGAAGCCCTCACCTCCAAGTAAGGGAAGGGCAGAATAGAGTAGAGTAGAGTAGAGTAGAGTAGAGTAGAGTAGAGTAGAGTAGAGTAGAGTAGAGTAGAGTGGAATAGAATAGAGAATAGAGAATAGAGAATAGAGAATAGAGAATTGAGAATAGAATAGAATAGAATAGAATAGAATAGAATAGAATAGAATAG